GCTCTCCTTCTATGATTCCAGTCCTTACACCAATTTGACTTGAGGCCAGAGGGGGTGAACGAAAGCTAGCCGGGCTTCCGGTGGTCTGCTGCTGGTGCTGCTGCTGCTGGTGCTGCTGCTGCCGCTGCTGCGCTGGGCGCTGCTGCGCTGGGTGCTCTGCAGGCGCCGGGTCGTCTGCTGCTGCTGCTGCTGGCGCTGGGTGGTCTGCTGCGGCTGCTGCTGCCGCGGCGTTGGGTATGCTGCTGCTGCTGGTGCTGCTGCTGCTGCCGCTGCTGCGCTGGGCGCTGCAGATGCTTGGTGTGCTGCAGCTGCTTGGTGGTCCCGCTCACCGCGCGCAGGGGGGAGTCGAACCGCGGGGGGGGGGGTCCATAAGATTGATTTAATCAATTATTTGAGGTTTCTGAGGTGCGTCCACCCCGTCACTTAACTTGCTAAAGCAAGAGCAACTCCAGCTAGCTAAGGCTAGCTTTCGTGACTACGGCACAGGTCGCCCGACGAGCTTCCCATGTAGCGCTTGCCACGCATCGCGTCGGTGCAGGCAGGGACACATCAACTGCACTGCCGGAGTCTTTGCACGGATGAAGCTCTGCAAATTTCGAAGCTCGATCTGCCCCCCCCGAAGTCGCACGTGCTCCATATCCCGCGCCTCCACCCCTTGCTCCAGCAAGTATCGAACCAGCATGTACAAGCCGACCGCCAAAACCACTGCTCTCTCAAGGCATATTTTTCCCCCGTCACAGATCGAATCGTATTCGGGTGACAAGGGAATTTGCCACGACTGCCTGCTCGCTCATGCATCTTGCGGCGATATGTATCAAAGCACCGCCTGGAAGCCCACCCAGACAGCCCTTTCTTCGACGCCAAGCTGCACAGACGCTGATACTTGGTCTCGTCCACGTTCTCTCCGGGCATGACTTCCTTGGTTCACTCCACAGCCCTCTCTTGTGGTCATCTTAGTCCTCTGCGTGCTCATCCTCACCAACAACAACACCCGGTCATCCGACTCGAAAAGATCACCGCCTTTAATCCCTGGCACCGGTTGAAAACCTTGCCCAAATAGAAAATATTAGCCGGCGCGTCTGTATCATCACCTTTTCAGGATCCTCGAAAGCAGCAGTCCATACGCCAGATCACCCCTCTGGAGTGAAGCTGCTGTGGTACCCAGTCGGATTAATGAAGCTCTCAAAATGAACGGCCGTAGCGTTTCTTGTCGGACTTCGCACCATTTCGCGTTGGGATCTGTGACACAGACCACGCACTACCCCTTCTTCACGACTACAGTTGGCCACTTTAGTCACAGCAACTTTTTGGGATCACTAGCGTTAGCCTGCAGCAGCATCAACCGCAAGCAGCAGCAGCAGCAACAACCGCAAGCAGCAGTAGCAGCAGCCGCAACAACCGCAAGCAGCAGCAGCAGCAACAACAACCGCCAGCAGCAGCAACAGCAGCAGCGGCAGCAGCAGCAACAACCGCAAGCAGCGGCAGCGGCAGCAACAACCGCAAGCAGCAGCGCAGCAACAACAACCGCAGCAGCAGCAGCAGCAGCAGCAGCAGCAACCGCAAGCAGCAGCAGCAGCAGCGGCAGCAACAACCGCAAGCAGCAGCAGCAGCAGCAGCACTTCATAGAAGATCTCTCCCCCCAAGGATACGATATGGTTGAACCAAAGTCAACATGAAAAAAACATCGCCAAAATATAGCAAATACCAATGTAATACTTACAATCGCTACGACCTCCCTAAGTTGCTCTCCCCCATGTAATCGACGTTTCCAGCACAAATCGCTACGAGCAAAGTTGGTGACTGTAGTTTCCGAGAACGAGACGTTTCTTGCTGCCGCGCGGCACGTTCTAAGAGAGCATCTAGCTTCGCTATCTCCTGCCGCGAACGACGTGGCTGCTTGAGGCTCTTCGACTTCATAGCCTTCGTGGCCTTCATAGCCTTCATGGCCTTCTTCGGACGAAAGTGCACGCTGTCTGCTGTCCGACTCCTGCTTTGCTAACCTACGGTTACAGCTTGTCTTGGAATTTTCGTGTCCATGGAGTTGCTGGACTTGGCCTTCGCTAGTTGCTGCCGTGACCTCGGCATGAATGTCCTCGGCCTTTCGTCATTTCTCTACCATGTGCACTTCATGCGCAGTTTGGGCCTGTGGAGCCTGTGGAAGCGGAACATAAAGGCACACCTCCCAGGTAACCGGTGGTTAGCCCCCCTGGCAACCACCCCAACCAGTATTAGAACACAACCTCCAGCATTTCGCTACTGATACACTGCACCAACATACGTTTACGCCCATCATCTCCAACAGCTCCGAACAGCTTGACATTGAGCGTGAGGCTTCAAAGACAACCACTGCTTATATTCCAGACCATGCCCTCGTCCAAGCCACGGCATCACGCGGAGCCTCCCCCCTAACAACCATTTTCCTTCCGGTTCTATCGGCGATCCTCCCAGGTCTGCAGCGCCTCAACATCCCGCTCTGCGCCAGGCCGGTACTGTCCAAGACGAGAAATGTAACACCCAAATGTGTCTTCATCCGAGCCCTTCGCGAAGGGCTCGGATGAGCACGGATTTCACTCTCGCATTTCTGGCATTACACTTCCTCCTTGGCCGACCCAAGTGGATACTAGCGGCGTCGAGTGTCTCGGAAACAATGCTAATGCCCGAAATGCAACCCCGCAATATGTCCTAATCCGAGCCCTTCGCGAAGGGCTCGGATCAGCAGTGATTTAGGTCTGCATTTCTTGCAGTACAATCCTGCTTGGCCAACCGAAGTGGATTCGAGCGGTATACGGTATCAGGTGTCGCGATCGGCGTAGGTCTCGCTTTTTCCGTCCCTTCAGCGTCGGCTTTGATTAGCCGTGGAAGAAAAGTATAGGACCATCGTCGATGTCAGTGGGACGGCCAGTTTTGCTGTGATGGTAGCTGCGCCAGCTGTGCGCAGCTGCGGCCCTGACCGCCTCAGGGATCCAGCCGTAGAAAGCCAATGAGAGGATTCGGAATTGTAGCGTATGGCATGAATCTCTCCGGGCTGACATACAAGGTGTCCACTCAACATGCAACAGGATCCCGAGGACAGTGGTGGTGTCCGAGCATCGCCCCAGTGACCGTCGCCCCACCCGGCTGCTCTAGCTTCTACTCATGCAAGACAGTGCAGCTACACATCAGCAGACAGTGTGAAATGCTGTCGCATTTGCCCAGCCTCCGATAGGCAGACCTTTGACTAGACATTGCTCCACACGGCTGTCAACGCACCCGAAAGCGTCTACCATCCGAGCCCTCCGAGAGGGCTCGGATGTTGGAATGACCAGCGTGCGTTTTGTAGGGACTCGGTACCTGGGCTTGGAACAAGAAACGTAAAAATATATCATAAAAAAACATGAGCAGCAGTGGAGCGCACCAGCCCGGGCATGCGTGCAGCGGGGGCCGACCCACAGCTCACAAAGTTGGGGCCCTGGCTAGGCACAGTCCGAGTTCGTGCGGGAAAACAGGCCAGCTCAGATGGCGGGCTCCAGTGCCTACGTCCAAGCTCATCATTGTAGGGGAACCATGATAGTGGCTGCTCTGACTGGACTGAGGGCCCAGGTTGTTAGGTGTAATTTAGGATCACTTGCCAGACGAGTTGGTTCTATCTCAAACACGCTCTTGGCATGGAGTGGGTTGGCCAAGGAGGTCATGCCACTGAGAGACTGGCTCTGTTTTTTTGGTGAGGGTTGTATGGGTCTGATCTGGTAGGATTTGGATCATTAGGGTTTAGACACCACGTTAGGACATACAGTAAGAGCTATAGATAAAGCCACTATCACAGAACCTTTCTTGAACTGTTTCGCGCAGCAGCGGGTGCTCCGCCTCGCGACGGTTCGGTGGTGTGCTGTTGTTGCAGCACATGCTGTCGGTTCGTTTCGAGCGCTTGGACGTTAGACCCTGCGGGAAAAGGCTCCAAAGCATCGATCCAGAGGTCATACATAGTGACGTTCCAGGAACAGTACTCCTCGCACGTATTTCTTGCCTGAGAATCCTGGTCCCCCGAGCCCATGGGCGAAAAAGACCTCAAGCAAAAGAGCACCCACCTGCAGTAGCAAAGGCAAAACTGGAAGCGCACCCAACATCAGCTCAACCTGAGCAGTCGATGCACGTCGATTCGACATGCGTGCCCGGCGCCTGGGGTTGTTGAGCCGCGCACGATGCGGGGGTTTCATGCTGTCAAATAGCATGACGATCCAAAAATGAAGGATTTGTTCTGTTCCGTCGACGGTTTTACAAAACGGCCGGGGCATCGTTGCTTTAGACAACAGAAAGTGGGTGGGCCCATAACAAGGCATAAGAACAATTGAACAATGATGTACCACTATCGAACACCACTGAACCACAAATACGCCAAGGCACCCAACCTCAAACCGTCCACCAACTCACATGGAGCTTGCCCAAATTGCTTTGGGGTTCGGAATCTAGTATGTATATATATATATATATCGGATCAGACCCTACATCCAACCTAGCTGCTTTGTACACACACATATTGACATCGATGAGCAAACCACCTGAACTTTTTAACTTTCTGTGTGCCCCTGCTACATGCTGTCACTGTAGCTCTGTCTGCCCTGTACGCTGCAGCGGGCTTTCAGCACAGCGAAATCGAAGAACTGTGACTTTCAGATTGTCTATAGCAAAGATCTTTGTCCCAAGGACTTGGCCTTTGACTCATGGTTTGTTCCACAACGCGGTCCCCTCAACTGGCGATTAGCTCTCAGGAAAGCTTTACCTTGAACGTTCTCTCGCTTTGTGCAATATCCCACTGTACTTCAAACATGGGGCTTCTCAGTATCGTGAGCTAAGAAACAGACTCATCTAATTTTGCAACTGCTGCTTCAAACATAGAGCTTCTCAGTGTCATGCTTTTGTAAACCTCAGAAACGGATTCTCTACATCAAAGCTTGCAGCTGCTGCTTTAAACGTGGGGCTTCTCAGTGTCATGTCTGTAAGCCTGAGAAACGGATTCTATACATCTACTCTTCGGCATCAAGCTCTCGCATCCCCTTCGCACGGAGCCCCGAGGTTGCCACTTTCGATGCACGGTCCACGGTGAGAATTGCCGCCGCCGAAATCTTCCGCTTCAACTTCGCCGAGCCACCACCAACGGCAGCAAACATTGCCATCGCGTCCGCCGTGGACTGCAACAGCGTCGGAGCGCTCGCTGTTGCAGCGTCCCACTGCTTTGCCCTTGTGGCTTTCAATGCCTCATCAGCTTGGACCTCCACGATACCGACTTACCGACAGTCCACTACCCACATACACACAATCAAACCGGTTGCTAGCTCCACTCCTATTAGGTGACCGCAGAATGTCCAGTCTATGAGTAAAAACACATCAAACCAACGCTCCTTCCATTTGGAGAGCTTTGAAGCAAGGTATTTGTTTCAGCTGAATTAGATTTCCCGAACCTACGTCAGGAAGGATGCTTTACCCTGGTGCATTTTTCAACCAGCAATCACGCCATCCGCGATAGTTCAAACACCTTGACCCCACCTTGGCAGCGTGGTCTTGTTCAAACAGCCCCGTGCATTCGCCGACTGCGCCGAGATCTGCTAGCGTTGCAGTCAAGTACTTCTGTTCGCGCAGACGCACAAAGATCGTTCTCCTCGAACTAGCTCGAACCTTGTATATAGCCTCTTCTGGGCAAGTCTTCAAGCATCCCACTACCACGGCGCGCGCTGCTTCATGATCATCGCCACGCTCCAGCGCTTCAGTCAATCTACACGTCAAGGATGCCATGCTCAGCAAGTGCTATACTGTCAGAGCCAGTCGATCTCCCGCGCGATCCGCATATCACCGCACGGAAAGGATACATACATAATGTTGACGGAAGTGTTAGCTCAAGGTCGTGTACCTCGTTTGGGTTCACTTGTGGAGCCTCTCTGACTACCCCCCAGCGATTGATCTACCACGTGGAAGTGTCTACCATGATCCAACTCAATGTATTCATCACTGGCTATACCCTGAGGACCCTGAGGATCTGCCCGCGATCGCCTTGCAGTAGTTCCGGTGACTGGCGTATGGAGGCATCGCTGCATCCGTGTCTCCTGCAATAGTTGTCGGGGAAACAAAACCTGTAATGAAATGAAAGCAGATGGGAATGATTAACTACCGACACCAAAAAAAGAACTCCACATTGAAACAAAAATAACGCGCCCCATCTCTCTTCCGGTATCGCTAACATGCCGGTCCTACATGTTCTCACATGTCCCATGACCGAGACGGAACTGGAAGGCCAGGAGCTACGGGTGGCGTTCTTACTCCTAATTGCGCGCGCTTGCTGACGACTTTCTTACGAACGCTGGAGACATGGCCGCGGCATCGACTCACACCCTACAACGTTCTTTTTATCTAACCAGGTGAAACGTGTCCCGAAGCCCACAGGACACATGGCCGTCTGCGCGCTACCTAGCTGATTACTAGTCACAATGGCAAACCAGTGTGCTGGCTGCCAAACAACAAGATTCTAACAAGATACATAATACACACCTGGTTTCCTAGAGCAATGGTGCCCAAATGCACGTTATACTATCTCGCAAAGTCATTTTGCTGACAAACAGACTACAGAACTATGTCCACCTCCTCGGCTCTGACTCTGACACTAAAAGGATCTCTATAGTATAGTCCGCAACCTCTCCAACAAAGTGCTTGTAGCCTCCACGTTCTTGGCTAAAGATTCCTGGAAGACCTCTTGCCTCGGAGCGCCAACAAAATGCCATCCACGGTTCGCGCGAGGCTTCCAACACATATTTTTTGCAAGGACTGAGACACTCCTGAGCAACTCCCTGTAGCCCATGTCGCTCCCTCTCTCGAAGACACGAGAACGGGGGATGGTTTCAAACCTCCCCTGCAGCCTGCTAGTAAGGGATTTCGGTGTATCGGCACAATGAGCATGTGTTTATCAACTTCCACTCAATCACCTCGGCTCTTCGCCCGTATCCGCTTGTATGACTTGGTTCCCGTGCTGTTGGCTTGAGCATCCTAGCGTGGCACGGCCACCGGTCCCACAAACAAAAGATGTCCATTGAACGGAATCAGGGTGTAGTAGCATCATGACACAGCATGACTGAATACTGTCTACTGCATACTGAATGAAAGCCAGTCTGTAGCACATTAACTCATAGCACTGCACGGCTAGGCATCACACAAACTTGCATATACGTGATCTATGCACGCTGAATAGGCCAAGCAGTATTGGCATCACAAACCTGGATGAAGAAAACGGTGACATCCTGGAATGCAAAAGACCTGGACGAATTATACTTTTGGATGACTATTCTTGCCGCTAGCATGATGCTGCCACATGAACAAACGCCAGCGTCGACCGTCCCTGCAGGCTCGCCGGACTCGACATTGACTCAATCTCTTACGATTATTTTTACGAGAGAGATTGTCTGGTAGACAATTGGCCTTTCAAAGTGCCTTTGATTTCATTAACTCTTAGGGCCGGGGCGAAAGCTAGCGCTCCAGAATGGGAAAGGGGAAGGCAGCGATGTCGGAAAAGAAACGGCGCTCTTTTTGGAGACGTCGCGACGCAAGATAGATCGGTATGGGGCAAAAGAGTATGCACTTGATCTCCAATCCAGGGAGTGGCCGGAGTGACACTATGCACTTGATCTCCGTTTTCTTGCACACTATAGGGTCAATGTAGTCAGAGGGGATGTACATCCTTTGGGTAACTAAGATATGCTTTTTGACCCTTAAAGAAAATTCAAAATCAACAAAGAATGCCCTGCAAAATCCTTTGGTTCCAGCGACAACGGGTGCAAGGTATTTGTGTGAAGCCTTCGGTGGAAGCTGCCCTCGATGATCCGAATGAGGAGGGTTTAGAAGGATTGGCCAAGACCAAAATGAACATGGGATCAAGACACATGGGGGTTGTTCAAAAGTATTGTTCCGGAAAAGTAACAGTATTGTAGAGGAACTGTTTGCACATGGTTGAAGAATTGGAGACTGGCTTAGCTCATTAGGGCTATTGCAAGTTAACGGAAATTACGTAGACCCCCCTCGACTGCGAAGATCGGAGCGAACCTGAATGAAGATGCTCGCGAGCAAGTAGAGGTCTGGCAGTGGAGGAATGGAAAGGCGTCAAGAATAGTTGGGAGGAAGAGATGCGCAAGCAACTGCAAGACTTCTTTGTTTTCGATCACGCGGAAGATTGCAATGCAACACTTCTTGTTTTCGATCACGCGGAAGATTGCAAGCACTTCAGATCTAGAGCCCGAGCCGGTCAGCCGCTGAATGTGCGCGCGAGGACTGCGAGCGTCTCAGCGTCCAGGTCTTCGGGGAAGTCCACGCGGTAGAAGGCGTCAGCCAAGGCAGCGGCGATCTGGCGGAGCTCGGTGAGGCTGTGGTGGGTGAGGGTACGAGAAGTGTGAACCCAGCCGCCAGGGCTGTTCGAGCGAGGAAGCCCAGCTTGCACAAGGGACTCACGGCGAGCATAGGATGGCCCGGTGACGACGAAGTGAAAGCTGCCTGTCTGATCGTTCGATGGGAGGGCGTGGAGGGTGACATGACTTCGAGCACCTGGTCAGGAGCATCTCGCAGGCGCCATACCGGGTGCTGCACGCCTTGGTACTCGACAGGAAACGGGACTGCATCCAGCAAAGCCTCCTGGTCAATCTCTGCAGGGCACCACAACCGGATCTTAGGCACCTGCAGTGAAGATTCCTGAGTCTGGCGCCAGGTGATGAAGGCGGAGAAGTGCTCAAGCATAGCGGGAAGCCCCTCAGGTCCTCCGCCAACGTAGCACACGGTGTGCCATGGTGGGCCGGCGCTGAAGCTCCACAGGAGTTGGCACATCGCCGCCTGCGAGAAAGGTATCGAGTGGTCTCGGTCTAGGTGAGGGGGCATGGAACGAAAGGGTGGGGGACAGGACGAGAAAGGATTTTGGATTGCGGAGCACAGACAGGAAGAAAACTGACTCGATTGCAGCAGAGGTGCGAGATCCGTCAAGCTGCACGGGACATTCCCGGTAGCTTTCTCTTCGTCGGTTGCGGCGGCTGCCGTGGCCCGGAGGTAGTTGCCCAAGTTCTCCCGCAACTGGAAGGTTGCTGAAGGCGTAGTGGCTGAGCCTTGCTGCTGCACAAAGACCAGGTATGCCGGTTGGGCGTCTTCAAACTCCGTGTGGATCTGCGACCCGTTGCGGGCATATTCGAGAATAGCGACATCGAGATCAAAGGACCCAGCCGAAGCCCCTGCAGCAGACGATTGCCCGGTGCGGCTACGGCGCACGATAAACGCCCTCGGACTCTTCTTGGGTGATGCCACGGCCGGTGCGGGGACCGGCGAGGCAGGTACACTTTGGTTAGGCACTGCAGGCATCTCAGGCGCAGGTGGCTGACTCGTCTTGGGTGATGCCACGGCCGGGGCGAGACAGGTGCACTTGGGTTGGGCAATCCCGGCGTCTCAGGCACAGGTTGAGTTGTTCCTCTAGGGGTTGGAGTTTCTCCCTGCCGAGGCATGATAGTTTCAAGGCGAAGCGCACCGTAGCGGAGGCGTGGAGCCAAAGTAGCTACAGAGACATGAAGAGGCACGGCCAAAAGGACAAAGGCAGTCCGGTCCAGTCTCCGTTTGTGTCGGAAAGAAGCTTGGGTTGACAGAGAAGTCGGATTTTTCTTAATTTGTCCAATGCCCCGTGTCTTCCAGCACAATTCCTTCAACGCTTGAAGGCGCATGACCCGGGGGCACAGCCTAGCACCAGAGTCCTATTAAGATGTCCCGCGCTGACTGCACAATCATGAATACTAACTCCAACTAATCCATGCAATCCACTGAATTGGTAGGCTTTCACTTCACTTCCCTGCCTGAGCCATCGCCTGTGATTTTTCCATTAGAACACCGTGCAGCACAGGAATGCTGCATCTGTACAGTCAATTTGGTTATGCTGGTCAAATTTGTGAAGTTGTTCACCCCAAAGTCCATCATACTTCCTGAAGTTCTGGACTCCTGCCTCAGAATGGGAATCGTTTCTTGTGAAAACTCTACCGGATCTATGCGAACCAAATCGAACCAACCTCAACTGTCAAGTACTCAACTGTCAATTTCAGCTCAACGCCGCCCTGGTCTAACTTTGGACCTCTCTACTTGGGCACGATGCAGAAGGGCCTCGATGATATTGCCCCTAAAATTCATACGTCCAGAGCCGGACTTCTCACTGGTGGACCCGCACCTGCGATAAGTGGATATAAGTGGCGGACATCGTTTGCTGCAGCTTGTGGGGTTGAGAGAAACGATGCAACATCAGAATGTGATAGGTAAAATCCAAACATACATTCCCCGGATCGTCATATGTGCACTGGCCGGCACCTTTCCTGATATCTCTGTCGGAGGGGATCTGGATGTAGGTCGGCAGCCAATCCTCAGACTCCACAAACTGCAGCCCAGTAAACGTCACCAACGTCCAAGCCCGCATCGACGTTGGCAATTGACGAATTTGAGCAGGCATCATCATGTCTTGCAGATCCCCCAATGCAGAGCCCTGCTGCAGCCATTGCCCCCAACATAGACCACATGGGCCCAACTTGGCCCAACCTCGGGCGAAGATGCGCGCCAGATAGGTTAACTTTGCTCAATATAGGCCCCACCAAGGCCAACATAGGCGTGACATACGCCCCACAGACCCAAGTGGGCCGGCGCCCGGCTGTTAGGCGTAAGCCTTTAAATCCGGGCGCCGGCCAGGACGCCCGTGGTGGTAACCGAAGGTTATAGACGGGCGCGCTGGCTGCCGCCGACCCTCG